CACTCTTTCTCAGTCATCATTATATCCAGTGGCCACTGTGTTCTATACTCTTTCCAAGAGAGACGCATAATCTCTATAATATTTAAATTGAATTTTGCAACATTTTGCTACCACTTTAAGTGATACTACTCTATTCTCTAAGTCACATGTCTTTATTTATTCTAATAATATAACCTTTTTTATTCATAGGGTCACATGGGTATACCAGGACCAAGAGGTGCCACTGGACAACAAGGGCCCCCAGTATGTCTTGAAAGCATTCTTTGTAATTCTGGCATTTAAAAAACATTAATGTTAACATATCTTATTTGGTGTCTGCTTTATATGTGATTTCTGTTTTGGCTCCTATTAAAGGGTGAGCCAGGTGACCGGGGTGAACAAGGACTAAAAGGAGAGAGAGGATCTGAAGTAAGTTGAAATCATTTAAGACAATTTGAAACTTACTGCTGGCTTGAGAAAACAGGGGCACAAGGAGTTGCTGTTCATTGTAACTTAAATGATCATTCATTGTTTCAGAGCAAGAATCACCACAGGCCTCTAAACAGGGTGTTTGTCAATAATTTTGCTAAAACATCATTATTGATTAATCCGTGTGTTTCAACTGCCATCCAAAGTTCACTTTACCAGCAGACTACTCTGGCTTTAAGAAAATTGCCTAGAGTTGTCCCAGACTAATTGCCCTTCCTTAAGGTTTCAGGCAGAAATATCAACTAGCCTTAAAACCAGCACTGCAGAGCAAAATTTTAGCAGTCATACCTATTTAGTTGCTGTAGTAAGGTAGGGGTGGATATAGTTTATCTATATGACACAGACTCACAATTGGTTTAAAAGATGTTTTTTCCATAACACAAGTCAATTATTTGTTATCAGGCGAACTAAAAATGTCACTGACTCCTGGACCCCTCCACTCACAGGCATGATTCCCTATATACCAATAAACGTTGCCTCAATCTTATGTAACAACTGGATTTGTAGTTTGTACCATCACTTCATTGCTGCCCTACTTTTCATGGCATTCTGACTTTACCCGCTACTGATTTAAAATTAAATTCTTTAGAAAATGTACTGTATTTTAATAATAAATTAGGTGAGGATTGATAAAAAGTAATGAATTTGAGACCATGTTTCTCCTACTTTGTTAAGCTGCCTTCACCCATACTTGTGTTTCCCATTTGTGGGAGTTAGTAATAAAATTGAGTTGAGTCGGATATTGCATAGGTTTTCATTCACACAGAAGCCATTTTAAATAGTCTTGGCAACTACCTAGTAACTTACTGTCAGGCTCCTTGATAAATAAGGACTAATAAATAATAAATAAAAATATCCCATTGGGACTTACCTGGTGGCACAGTGGTTAAAAATCCACCTGCCAATGCAGGGGACAGGGGTTCGAGCCCTGTTCCTGGAGCAACTAAGCCTGTGAGCCACAACTACTGAGCCCGTGTGCCACAACTACTGAAGCCCGTGTGCCCTAGAGCCTGTGCTCCACAACAAGAGAAGCCACCGCAGTGAGAAGCCCGCACACTGCTACGAAGAGTAACCCCCGCTCTCCACAACTAGAGAAAGCCTGTGCACAGCAACAAAGACCCAATGCAGCCAAAAATAAATAAATAAATTTATTAAAAAAAAAAAAATCCCATTGAAGGCAAGCCTTAATTTTAAAAAGAAATTCAAAGAAAGAATACAGTTGTCTCATTAGCTTAGAATTTTTAATACCCAAATTGGAAAAGGTAGTGGAAAAAAACATGAACCTAGAACACTGCTACTACTTTCATGTGACTTCCTTATATTTGCATTAAGTGCCTAAGGATGCAAATGCTCTCCCAAGGTTTGATCCTAAAATTTCTAATCCTTTACAATTAGTACTTTCATATTCTCAATGTTTTCATTTTCCTTTTTTGATGTATCTCAGGAAGAAGAAATTTGTTTTATGTTTCTTAGTATCTGTTAAAATTATGCCAACAAAAGTAAAATATTCTTACTAGACAACTGCAGCTCCAGCCTATATGGTCAGCTCTCCCTGGGTATTGGAGCTGAAAGGTCTTGAGGAACCATGGTTTAAATTCTGTATAATCCACGAGAATTAGTTCTTTTCCCACTTTGGGCAATGCTGGTGTACAGTCCGAGGTTACGTTAAAAAGCCTCTTTGAATTTCAGATAGTAATGATTGCTACAAGAAAAACCACTGACTATGTGTTACTCACTAGGGACACTTTGAATGGCCAGGTGGATCCTACGGAATTGCCCTCATCTTGTTTTTGCAAAGCTTTAAATTTGTTTTTTAGATTTGGAAATGCCCTTTAAAATCGTTTGGACAACCCTCTCATTTTTCAGACGAAGAAATTTAGGTCCCAGAGGGATTATGAGTTACCTAAGATCACAGAACTAGTTAGCAACAGAACCAACACTAGAAACTTTATTTCCTGACTCCCATTATTATACAAAAGCCTTCTATTACTTTGAAGTCTTTTATAAATTAAGTTAAATATTAATTTTACTTAACCAGCCAATTCATTAATTGGTCTCTCAGACATGAAACTATGGAAACTATAAAGAAAAGGTTGGAGCAAGTCAAGTTAAAACCAATTGCAAACCACTACATTTTTTTAGAGACTTTTATAATGCAAATGTAGTGAACTGTCCCATAATGGCTTTCAAATACAGAGACTCAAGCCAAAATCTTACTTTCCTCCCAAAGCAAAATTCCAGATTTTAGTGAATTTAAATTTCTTGGTTAAAAAACAAAAAAAAGACTTAACTCTCTAAACCTGTGTTTGTACTTTAAAGCTACCCTCTCTAACAAAGTTAGAACTAACAAAGTATTGTGATGACTGTCCTTCAGCTTCATTTGAATAAAACACAAACGAATGTTTGGACTATAATGGCATTTAAAATTTTCTGTTACCTGGGGCTTCCCTGGTGGCGCAGTGGTTGAGAGTCCGCCTGCTGATGCAGGGGATGCGGGTTCGTGCCCCGGTCCGGGAAGATCCCACATGCCGCGGAGCAGCTGGGCCCGTGAGCCACGGCCGCTGAGCCTGCGCGTCCAGAGCCCGTGCTCCACAACGGGAGAGGCCACAACAGTGAGAGGCCCGCATAGCGAAAAAAAAAAAAAAAAAAAAAAAAAAAAAAAAATTTAAAATTTTCTGTTACCTAAAGAATTAGATTACCTTCTCTTGTAGTCTATGAAGTGGTACAATCCCAATGAATGGAATTCGTTGTTTTAAATGGATCTGATTTCAAGTGGGCTGTTGTATTTTTCAAAGCTAGCCAGACAAAAGAGAAAGCACAATTTTACATATACTCTAAAGAATAAATATGAAATTCATTCGCCTTTCCTATTATGAGAACAGGAAGTCTGTTGATTTATGAGGTACTTATATTTACATAAAATAATATGAGTAAGTTAATTTTGAAAATAGCATAGAATGCTTCTAGCTTTATTATATTTAAACTGGGCATTGGTGGAAGAGTGATTTTTTTTTTTCCTTTTTATGATACCAACTCAATTAATCATCTACAAACACCTTAGATGACAACATACTTTCTTTGTCTTTGGCCCAATCTTTAATTTCCTACTGAACAGACCATCTCTGTGTAGGATTAATATTGAGTAATGTTGGCTCTTAATTTAGTTACAACACTACCCAGCAATTCCGGCTGCAAGATTTTTTTTAATGCACAAATTCAAAAAAATACCAATCTTCTACCCTTTGTTGATCTTTATATATTTTAAACCTCCACTGCAAGTCTGTCATTTCTCTAACTAGCCTACTTCCTTTTAGTTATGGTGACAATAATTGTCATAAGGAAATCTTTCCTGAATTGACATCTAAAAACAGCAGAGACTGTTTTGTTATTTACTATACGCTTTTTGTATTTAATAAGGAGATTTTGTCACAATTGTACCATTACGAGTAGCAAAATATACATTAAAAATAAATTTTATAGTCATAATTTTCCTTTAGTGTTATTCTGTTGGAAGCTGCTTCCTGATGCCCATCCGAGTATTAATAACATTCTAGTTTTCACAGTGATAGACCCATGTATCTAGGTTTTAGAGCAGTATTTAACTGTTCTGAAATAATCCCAACATAATGGTCACCCTAAAATGTAACTGATTTGTGATATGAGACTCTCTTTGTTTTTATTTGAATGTTTGGAATAAAGCACGCACATACATGTATAGCATATCTGAACCTTAAGCCATAAACTCAAGTATACAAAAAGTATAATTTTGTTTATGTTCTTTGTAATGGAACTTAACTTCTGTCCTGAGTACCCATCCTGCCTGGTGGTAGAAACCTAATTGATGGAAATCTAGTCAATTGATTGCCTTTAACTCCGTCCACTCAAATATCCTGCATTTGATTTAGAGTTTTTCCCATTTATCCTCTTTTCAAGTCTGCTGTTACATTCTGGGTGGCAATGGTAGGGAAGGGGAATAGGAAATGAGATTGATCTTTAGCCATCATCTGTTCATACTAGCATCCACTGAAATGTACATCATCCCTTTTGGCCCCCGTCTGCCATCATCCCACCATGTTGGCATCTACCTTGGCCCTCCGGACAAAAGTTCTTTGATCCCTGTTGGCTTGTACAGCTATTTTCTCAACTCAGGTGCAAGATCTCCTTAGATAAGACTCTAAGGGCCATATGCTTCTGTTCTTGGCCACATGGAAATAATATTCTACTGCTCCCCACACCATGCCAGGTGCTTGAGGGACTCAGACTTCCTCAGGCCCCCTGGCCTAGACATCTCATGCAGAAATTTCAACTCTATTGCTGCACTCAGTGCAACTTAGCGTTCATCTCAGTGAGGCCTTTAGTCTCTCTAGCCATCATCTCTGTGCCCAAATCCCCACACTTATCTGCAGATATTATTGTTTTGTTTTGTTTAGTTTATTAAGTTTTATTCAAATGTAGTTGCTTTAAAATGTTGTGTTAGTTTCTTGCTGTACCACAAAGTGAATCAGGCATATGTATACAAATATCCACTCTTTTTTAGACTCACTTCCCATTTAGGTCACCACAGAGCACTGAGTAGAGTTCCCTGTGCTATACAGTAGGTTCTCATTAGTTATCTATTTTATACATAGTAGTGTATATAAGTCAGTCCCAACCTCCCAATTCATCCCAACCCCCCTCCTTCCGCCCTTGGTAACCGTAAGTTTGTTCTCTACATCTGTGACTCTATTTCTGCTTTGCAAATAAGCTCATCTCTACCATTTTTCTAGACTCCACATATAAGCAATATTATATGATACTTGTTTTTCTCTTTCTGACTTACTTCACTCTGTATAACAGTCTCTAGGTCCATCCATGTCTCTGCAGATGTCACTATTTTGTTCCTTTTTATGGCAGAGTAATATTCCATTGTATATATGTACTGTTTCTTCTTTATACATTCCTCTTTCGATGGACATTTAGGTTGCTACCATGTCCTGGCTATTGTAACTAGTGCTGCAATGAACATCATGGTGCATGCATCCTTTCGAATTACGGTTTTCTCCAGATATATGCCTAGGAGTGGGATTGCTGGGTCATATGGTAGCTCTATTTTTAGTTTTTTAAGGAACCTCCAAACTGTTCTCCATAGTGGCTGTACCAATTTTCATTCCCACCAACAGTGTAGGAGCGTTCCCTTTCTTTCACACCCTCTCCAGCATTTATTGTTTGTAGAATTTTTGATGATGGCCATTCTGACTAGTATGAGGGTATACCTCATTGTAGTTTTGATTTGTATTTCTCTAATAATTAGTGATGTTGAAAATCTTTTCATGTGTTTGTTGGCCATTTGTATGTCTTCTTTGGAGGAATGTCTGTTTAGGCCTTCCACCCATTTTTTGATTGGGTTGTTTGTTTTTTTAATATTGAGCTGCGTGAGCTGCTTATATATTTCGGAGATTAATCCCTTGTCAGTTGCTTTGTTTGCAAATATTTTCTCCCATTCTGAGGGTTGTCTTTTTGTTTTATTTATGGTTTCCTTTGCTGTACAAAAGGTTTTAAGTTTAATTAGGTCCCATTTGTTTATTTTTGTTTTCTTTTTCATTACTTTAGGCAGTGTATTGAAAAAGATCTTGCTGTGATTTATGTCACAGTGTTCTGTCTATATTTTCCTCTAAGAGTTTTATAGTATCTGGCCTTACATTTAGGTCTTTAATCCATTTTGGGTTTATTTTGTGTATGGTGTTAGGGAGTGTTCTAATTTCATTCTTTTACATGTGACTGTCCAATTTTCTCAGCACCACTTATTGAACAGACTGTCTTTTCTCCATTGTATATTCTTGCCTCCTTTGTCATAGATTAGGTAGCCATAGGTGCTTGGGTTTATCTCTGGATTTTCTATCCTGTTCCATTGATCTATATTTCTGTTTTTGTGCCAGTACCATACTGTTTTGATTACTGTAGCTTTGTAGTATAGTCTGAAGTCAGGGAGTCTGATTCCTCCAGCTCTGTTCTGCTTTTTCAAGATGGCTTTCATTATTCGGGGTCTTTTGTGTTTTCATACAAAGTGTAAAATTTTTTGTTTTAGTTCTGTGAAAAATGCCATTGGTAATGTGATAGAGATTGCATTGAATCTGTAGATTGTTTTGGGTGTATAGTCATTTTCACAATATTGATTCTTGCAATCCAAGAACATGGTATACCTCTCCATCTGTTTGTGTCACCTTTGATTTTTTTCATCAGTATCATATACTTTTCTCAGTACAGGTCTTTTGCCTCCTTAGGTAGGTTTATCCCTAGGTATTTTATTCTTTTTGATGTGATGGTAAATGGGATTATTTCCTTAGTCTCTCTTTCTGATCTTTCATTGTTAGTGTATAGGAATGCAAGAGATTTCTGAGTATTAATTTTGTATCCTCTGCAGGTGTTATTGTTTCTACCCACCCCAGGACTTGACAGCAGATTGGTGTCAAGGTCTCTTCTCATAGATACCCATCAGTGTCTTAACAGTTTTCCTTCTCTTTTTACCTTTATCCAACTTGAAGATTTTTTATATCCCCTTAGGTAGGAAAAACTTTCTCTTATATTATTATAATTCTTCTAAATATGTTCTTTATGGTATAAATTTTATGACTTGAATCCTTTATTACCTTGTTTCTTTATGTTCAACGATAGACTTTCAATATTTAAAAATCAGGCTTTTGTATTTAAAAATATATTCTTTTCAAACTATTCCCCCACCATGAGTTTCAGAGGACTGTTTTGAAATTCTTAAGCTAAAAAAGTCTACTTTGAAAATCAAAAGTTTAGAACAAATCTGTTGCTTTACATAAAAAGAAATACTGTGAAGGAAAACACACACCAGTTAACATATTTGAATATTATCACAATTCATATACTGTTTAATTAGTGCTATTCAAGACAACTGAAATCAGAATTGTTTTCAATATTTAAAACAGTCTTTATTTGTCTATTTTACTTCTTTATTGTATTCTAAAAGATGCATCTATTATAGGGACCATATGTTCCAGAAATTGTGTTTACTTCAACTAAACCCAGTTCACCAACTATCCCCTTTTCTGGTTTCCTTACCCTTAGGAAGAATTTACATTAGTGACTTTTTAAAGCAAGTAAAAGAGTTTTTGAACTTGGAGGTAGAACCCTTGATCCATATAGCTCCCTATCATCGAATTCTAACAAAATTGGATTTTTATCTCTTATAGAAAATGCCCTTTTTCTCTCTGACTACATACACTATTTCTTCTTAAAACGTTTAAGCTCATTTTCAGAAGACGTAACATCTTCTGAAATTGTTTATTTTGTCATTGTTGTCAAATTGAATCTTTAGTACAACTGTCTTCAGATTTGAATAACTTAACATCTCATTTTGGTGGAATTATCCTGTTTCTGAGAACTTTTGATGATTTCTGAGAAATGTTTCTAGTAATGGCAATAGGCTTATTTTTCTTATTTGTGAACTAGGTCACTCTTTAACACCTTTTTCTTCTTAAAATAATTTTAGGATATCATCAGAATAATGGCATGATTTGCAAGGGCAAATTTCTAACTATCCTGGTAGACCGTTACTGCTGAATCGATTATGATTTAAAATATCTCACACATGGAAAAACAAGCAATTCTGTGGGAAATAAAGATCTTTTCTTTGATTTACAAGTATGTTCTTCTCTGTGCTTCCAGATAAGCACATTTTAGGTTATTGGTTCATGTCCGTCACTACACTGTAAGTGCCTTGTGAACAAGAGCTTTGATTTTGCATCTCCAGCACATAACAGAATCCCTGATACCTAATAGTCAAGAAATGTTTACTGAATTAATTAAATAAGTACTTAACCACTTTCAGTAGGGAGACAAAGGCCTTGCCTGAAGTGGGGACTTTTATTTAAATAATCTATTCAGTTCCTTTTTAGAACTATAATTTGAATTCTTAAATCATAGAATTTGAAGCCAGGTGGAAATTCATAGATTATATAGTCAAATTCTTTCATTTACAGATGAAGAAAATGACTCCCAGGAAAGTTAAATGGCAATCCCAATGATAAACAGCTAGTTAGTGGCAGGACTTGCTGTAGCCTTCAGGTCTCAGAGTTCTTTTCTATGCCTTCAGTTTAATTAAATTTATAGCAATGAGTTGACAGCTGTGCTTCACATTTTTAGGGTCCTAAGGGGAAAAAAAGAGCTCCTGGCCCTGCTGGGAAACCTGGGATTCCTGTAAGTAACAGGCCTTTTTCACCTTTATTGTTTTTCTAAATAGAACTTTAGCAAGCAGAAAAGTTTGGGGCCAATTATGACGTGTTGGATAAATCAGATTGTCTTCAAAAAAATGTTTAAACCCATGCCGGAACACAGAGGGAACAAAATATGACCATTAGCTCAAAACCAAGCTTGGTGTTGAAACGGAAGTCGCTGCAACTGAAGGTTGTTATTTTCCAGTTCAGGGAGATCTCTCTGTGGATTCATGCTACTATTCTTTGATTGTGAACCACTAAAAAACAGGCAACTTGGAGTCATGACTAAATAAATGGTGACAGAGGTCAGAGATTTTCAAGCATAACTGAAAAGACATGAGCTGGATTTTAATCGAAGAACTCGGCCTCTCATTTTCCTGGGAAATAGAACAGAAAGTCTTAGAAAAAAGCTTTAAATCTTTTCATCACAGAACAAAGATTAATTTTACCTTAGCCATCTGTTTCCTCTTTGGCCAAGCAAATATGTGTAGACTAGCTTATTAGCAAAGACTTCCTGCTGGTCTCCCCTAGCCAACAGCCTGCTTTGCGTGGCCTGTGTTGGTTCAAAAAAAGCGAAGAAAAGTGAACATAAATTATGAGCACATTGAGATCAGAGATTCCCTACAGATTAAATCCAGTTGCCCAAGAGTACAAACAAAATGTTCAGACCTTCACTCAGTCATATAATTATCTAATTCAAAGTGGCAACTAAAAGAGCCGTAATTTATTTCTTGGGAAAATAACACAACACAGAGTTTTAGAGATGGTGAATGTCAGCCTATATCCTAAACCGACAGGTGCACATAGCTGATCTTTTCTCCACAGCTGGATAGAGCATGGGCTGGTACAATGAGAAATACCAGGAAATTACAGTAAAGTGGAAAACGTTACACAATAAATTGCTAATTAGCTTGGCATTTCAGTTTAGGGAACAGTTACCTGATCTGTTGTATCCAAATAGTAAATTATTAAGGAATCCAGAAAACAGGAAAATTTATCCTGGGACAGGGTTTTAAGAATGTAACCTCCCACTCCCCAATAAGTATAAAAGTGTTTGTCATTTAAACATCTGTATAGCATCTCTCTGTAATCCAAGTAATTTTTAATTACCAAGGGACTTCCAGGCCTACCTGGGCCAAAAGGCGTGCAAGGATACCCTGGAGCAGAAGGCATTTCAGGAAACCCTGGTAAAGTTGGGCTACCAGGAAAACAGGGACTTCCTGTGAGTAGATTGAATATTCTTTGCTCTTTATTTCTTATGCATAAGTGTCTCTTTACTAAAACCATAGATATTTTGGCTGTCTTCCTTAACTTTGACATTGGTTCATATTGTGTTTATGATTTCCAGGGAATGTCAATGAGTACATTCTGTTGGATGTTTTATAACCCATGTAATATAACCCATATTATTAATAATTTATATTATTTTTACACATATAAAAGCTGGTACATAGGAACAATAAAGAAGTAAAACTTTAAGGGGGCTTCCCTGGTGGTGCAGTGGTGGAGAGTCCGCCTGCCGATGCAGGGCACGCGGGTTCGTGCCCCGGTACGGGAGGGTCCCGCGTGCCATGGAGCGGCTGGGCCCGTGGGCCGTGGCCACTGGGCGTGCGCATCCGGAGCCTGTGCTCCGCAACGGGAGAGGCCACAACAGTGAGAGGCCCGCGTACCACAAAAAAAAAAAAAACTTTAAGGGCTACACAGCCTGTGTTTTGAGTTCATCAAATGTCTTAAGCCACCGTTGGAACATTTCAGGCTTGGCAATAACTCAAGGTAAGTTCTGCCAAAATCATTTTCCTTTACTTTTATAGCCTCACTATTTTACAGAAATTGTGTGAATATTTTCTCTGTGTTCATCTAGTGGTGATGCAATGCGCAGTGATGTAGATTATTATTTTTATGCAGATTTCTATCTTATTTATTTGATCAGAAATTTTAAAATGATATTTTTGTCTTCATTTGGCCATTTTCCCTCTTTCCTTCCTAAGGTCAACATGATCCAGATATTTTTTGTTATCTCATGTTGTGTTTCCCTTTGAAATACAAGAATAATTAATCGCATATTTCAGTAATCCAGTAAAATTTATCCTTTTACATTTCCACTATTTTTGGATATGATTATGTATTGACCTGTTTTTCTTTTCTTAAATGAATCAATCCTAGTTGTTTATTCACATGTAGCATGGGACTGTAGCAAAGCTCAAACCCAGATTAATATTATTCTTTCACTATGATGAATTATCTCACTTGTTTCAAAAAATGTATCAAATTATGACCCAGCCAATTTAATTATTTCAGAAATAAGTATCTGGCCATATTCTATTTGGAAAGGTGAGTATTTTTAAGGAGGCTTAGTATGGTTTCTATTTGCTTTGGGGACAGTATATCTGAACATCAGAGCATCAGGGTGTAAGCCCTAGAGAAATTTGACAGCCAGGCTGATGTTTTGATTAAAATATATGTTTTCTAAACTTCTGCCATTAACATCAGTCTGGTTAAAAGAGGACTTCCATTTGAGATCCCAGTCTTAAAGGGAGCTCATGCCCTGAAGCTTCATGTAGATGCTGCACTCTAGGCTCACCATATAAGAGTCTTAAAATGAGGTTGTGGAGTTTTAAAAATACAACAATAAAACACTTTGAATTGGTCTGAGAGTCTGTACTTAAGTTTTACTGGGAAATGTTAGAGTGAATCTTACTGCTTTGAATAAGATTTTGAGAGCTGAAACAAGGAAAACCACATTTCAAAATACGTCATATTTCTTGCTGTGAACACAGGTTTAGTCATGGAGGTGGTATGTATGTGGATGTGTCCAGTAGTCGATAAGGCTAGAAACTGAATTGTAAATACTAATAACAGCGAATAGATTTATTTAATTACTGCAAAGAGGAACGCATTTGTTTTCTGACTAAAATAATATTAATCCAGGTACTTATTCCAGATATGGATAATACAAATCAGGATCCTATATATATATGTTTAATAAGAATTTCAGACATTCAGCATATAAGATATTCAGCAGACACTAGTGACAGGTCAAAGTCATCCACATTTTTTACACCAAGTCACTTAATACTTCATTGTGGCAAACAACTTCTTTCTGGCAGTATGTGACACCTGAAGGTCTTCCTGGAAAGGACTGAAAATCGGAAAATAAAATGAAAACATTGATTCAGACTACAAAAATATGAACCATTTTCTCTTGCATAAATACAGCAATGTGGCAAGTGATTGTTATCTGCTGCTGGTTTCCAGAAAGAAAACAGACATTTTCTAACAACTCTACATCCTTCTTTAATGGGGTAATACTTAAAGGACAGTAATATAATGGCTAAGAGAAAGCCAATACAGAAAATGGTAGATGCAAATAAGATACTGATTTCATTTTAATTCTGTCTAAGTTGCATTCTAGAATCTGCCACACGGTTTTGATTGGCTGTGTGGGTGAAGGCTCGTGCATAAAACCAAATCACTGGTTCCACATAGAATAAAAAAGAATGAAGAGGACTTAAAGCCAGATGCTGAAGCCATTTGCACACTCAGGGCTATTCCAAGACCCAGTTAGAACTCTAGGGTATATCAACAGGGCTCTTTGGTTGCAAACCACCAAACATGGCTATATGGATTGCCTATGTATACAGATTGCCCCAAGTTCTGCCCACTGGGAAGAGTCTCCTTCACTGATATCTTTCAGGCTTAAATGCAGCAGCAATCCACTTCTAGCAGATGTTGACATTCAATGCAGATCTATCCATAACTCAGGCCTGAACTTTTTTCTACCCTACTAACTGGCAAGGGGAATTCTCTAGGAAGGCTGAAGGAGCAGTGGTAAAGCAGTAGAAAAAGTATCATGGAAGTCTCAGTTGCTTGCTTGCATATTTTGTTTGTGATTTCTGGACCTGCTGGGACCCAGTCTCGATATACACCATTTCCATTTAGGAGTGAACGCTGCTGTGCCCAGCCAATTTTATGACTTAGTGGATCAAATACCACTCAGATCATAATGGTCAGTTCAGGACACATAGTCATTTGATGTCTCAGGGTCGCTTATTCAGCTTCAACCAGAGCAAGCCCAGAACTGCTTTCCAAATGGGAAATTACATTTGACAAAGAAGGCATTGCTTATGTCCAAAACCTTATGGGTATAAGCTGTAATTCTCTTATGGGGGTTATCAAAGGGTCCATATAGCATCTCTACCAGCCACAGACCCTTCTGATATTATTGGATCTGCTCAGTCATAGCAAGGTAGCTTACACAGCATCCTGAATCTGCTGCCGAGCATTTTCGTCGGGGACCACCCAAAACTAGCAAGCTGGCAAAGGACTTGAATTTCTCCAGAGAAGATACACAAGTGACCAATAATCACATGGAAAGGTGCTCAACATCACTAATCATTAGGAAAATGCAAATCAAAACCACAATTAGATACCACTTTTACAACCGCTAGGATGGCTATTATCCAAAAAAATTAAAAAATTGAAAGAAAGACAGAAAATTACAAGTGTTGGTAAGTGTGTGAAGAAACTGGCACCTTGTGTATTGCTAATGGGAATGTAAAATGATGCAGCCGCTGTGGAAAACAGTACGACAGGTCTTGAAAACTTAAATATAGAATTACCATATGATCCAGCAACTCCCCTCCTGGGTATATATCCAAAAGAAATGAAAGCAGAAACTTGAACAGAAATTTTCCAAATGTTCATAACAACATCATTCACAGTAACCAGTAGGTGGAAACAACCCACGTGGCTGTCAACAGTGAAACAGATAAACCAAATATGGTATATACATACAATGGAATATTATTCAGTCTTAAAAAGGAAGGAAATTCTGACACATGTTACCAAATCGATAAACCTTGGAGACATGCTAAGTGAACTAAGCCAGACACAAAAGTACAAATAGTATATGATTCCACTTATATGAGGTACCTAGAATGGTCAAATGCATAGACAGAAAATAGAATGGAGGTTGCCAGAGACTGGGAGAAGGATTTGGAGAAGTTACTGTTTAATGGGTACAGAGTTTCAGTTTGGAACATAAAAATTTCTGGGGCTTCCCTGGTGGCGCAGTGGTTGAGAGTCCGCCTGCCAATGCAGGGGACACGGGTTCGTGCCCCAGTCTGGGAAGATCCCACATGCCACGGAGCGGCTGGGCCCGCGAGCCATGGCCACTGAGCCTGCACGTCCGGAGCCTGTGCTCCGCAACGGGAGAGGCCACAGCAGTGAGAGGCCCGCGTACCGCCAAAAAAAAAAAAGAAAAAAATTTCTGGAGATGGATGGTGGTGATGGTGGCACAACAATGGGAATGTACTTAATGCCTCTGAACTATACATCTAAAAACGGTTAAAATGGTAAGTTTATGTTATATATATTTGACCGCAATAAAAACCTAGCAACTTTACAGGCTACCCAGTAAGTGGGTAAATGGGTTGTAGCAGCATACCCAAAGGTGGTATAGATTGACTCCGAAGTCCAGAGAGGCTCACCAAGCATTGTGCCTCTTTTATTGTGATGAGCAATGCAAAGTGCAACAACCTGTCTCTACTTTAGAGGATATCCTGATACACCCCCAAACCACTACCCCTAGGAACTTACATTTAGCAGTCCCATGAACTTTTTAATCCTATCCCCTGGTGTATCCTTAGGGTGCTTGTTCTCTTCCACTCTCCAGGTCCAGTTAGCACAGTGAGCTCAGTTTAATGGACCTGCCTGATATTTTGTGAGATGTCAAAGACTATAAAGATATCGCTCTGGTCTATTTTATGACAGAGAGGAAAACTGAGCTGACACAGCACTGAGATAAGGCATTGAAGTGATACAGCTCTTTCTGCCTTGTGAAGGCAAGCGAACTGCCTCTGATCATCTTCACTGATAGGAATGTTGGTAGGAAGTATTTTTACTAGGTCAGTAACTGCTGTTGCTAATCGCTGTACTGTTCAGTAAAGACACCATATCAGAAACTGCAGCTGTGATTGGCATCAACACACAATTGCGTTTGTAAATTTAAGTCTGGGAGTTATCTGGTGTGTGCACCAAACAGATGAGTAAAATGGATATGGGATATGGTAGGATCACTGCTTTTGCATCTTTCAGGTCTTTTGGCCGTAGTATATACAATTTTCCACAGGGATGTGGTGGTTAATATGAACAGTTTTCTACAGGGGTGTGGTGTTACCTTAGGTATACATTGTGGGGAAGGGGGCAGGAAGAGATAGTTGC